ACCTCTGCCGTCCCCGTGGGCACAGAATGTCTGCGACACATCCAGCCATCTCAGGAACCAGCTTCATGTGGCATTAGTGGTCAGTAGGTCGGTCAGTGAGATCAATACCACCCCGTTGTGTTTCAAGTCATGAGGAGACAGTATGTGAAGCTAGCAGGGCTCTTCTGACTATTAGACTCGTTCATTCCCATGATCAGCTGGGTGCACAAAATATATGTCTAGTAAGAAAGAATCCTGCCACAGACCAGACCAGAGAGGATTTGTAAGGCTGCAAGGCTCGGTAGGTATAGAGACCGTGGGGGGGAACCTAGCTTCCTTCAGGGGGCTACGCCACCCTCTCTCCTTTCAACCTATTTCACGTTTAGAAAGCGATTTCCTCAAGATTACAGCCCATGTGTGGAAACTTGTCTCCTGGTTGGGAATTCCATTTTCTATTCCTTTGGAAAACCCACAGTCAAGCTCCTAGGTCCTGTCTGTCTTCCTTCTTTTAGCCATTCTAGTAAGCGTGTGCTAATGTCTCGGCATGGTTTTAATATGTGTTCCCTAATAACTAACAATGTTGAGTATCTTTTCACGTGCTTATTTGCCATCTATATATGTTCTTTGAGGAATGCATCCCCACTTTTCTATTATTTTCTGTTTTACATATCTTGTAAACTACTTTAAATCCTTTTTAGAATAAGACTATTTATAGTTATTTATAAATATTCATTTATAATATATATTATATGAAGATGTGATATATACATCTTCTTTATCCGTTCATCCATCGATGGACACTTGGTTGCTTCCTCATCTTGGCTATTGTAAATAACGCTGCAACAAATATAGGGGTGCATATATATTTTCAAGTTACTCTTTTTGTTTTCTTTGGATAAATACCCAGAAATGGGATCACTGGATCCTATGGTAGTTCTATCTTTCCGTTTTTGGGGTACTCTCCATGCCGCTTTCCATAGTGGCTGCACCAACATACATTCCCACCAACAGTGCACCAGGGTTCCTTCCTCTTACTCCACATCCTCACCAATGCCTTTTTTTTTTTTTAAGATTTTATTTATTTATTTGACAGAGAGAGAGAACACAAGTAGGCAGAGTGGCAGGCAGAGAGAGAGGGAGAGGCAGGCTCCCCGCTGAGCAGGGAGCCCGATGCGGGGCTCAATCCCAGGACCCCGGGATCATGACCTGAGCCGAAGGCAGACGCTTCACCGACTGAGCTCCCCAGGTGCCCCATCACCAATGCTTTTTATTTTTATTTTTTATTTTTTTAAGATTGTATTTTTAAGTAAACTCTACACCCAACCTGGGGCTTGAACATACAACCCCGAGATCAAGAGTTGCACGCTCCACCCACTGAGCCAGCCAGGCGTCCCTCCTTCTTGCGTTTTTGATAACAGCCATTCTAACAGGTGTGAGGTGATCTCATTGTGGTTTTGGTTTGCATTTCCCTGATGATTAGTGCAGCTGAGCATCTTTTCATGTGCTTGGTGGCCATTTGTATGTCTTATTTGGAAAAATATCTGTTCAGATTTTCTGCCCATTTTAAATCATATTTTTTTTTTTTGCTCTTGAGTTAAATAGTTTGGATATCCATATCAGATACATGACTTGCAAATATTTTCTCCCATTCAGTAAGTTGCCTTTTCATTTTGTGGATGTTTTCCTGTGCTTTCCTTCTAATGGAGACTAGCTTTTTTTTTTAGATTTTATTTATTTATTTGAGAGAGAGAGTGAGCCTGAGTGGGGGGGCGGGAAGCAAAGAGAGAGGGAGAAGGAGAAGTAGGCTCCCCGCCGAGCATGGAGCCCCATGTGGGACTCAATCCCAGTACCCCAGGATCATAACCTGAGCCGAAGGCAGACACTTAACCAACTGAGCCACCCAGGTGCCTGAGACTACATTTTTTAATGCTATTTATACCATGCACATTACTGCACTTGAGAACAGACTATGTTATAGGCAAGATAGGATTGTTATTTCCATCTTAAAGGGCTCATAAAGATTAAACCACTTGGCCAAGGTCACATGGCTAATGAACAGTGGAGAAAGGACTAGAACTCAGGGGTGCCAGCCAGAAGCTAAAGCTCGTTCCTCCGCAGAGCCCCCCCACCAATCAGGCCACAATGAGGGGAGCAGACCACCTCTCGCGTCTTACCAGTGCCCACACCACCCACAGACATGCAGACAGGCTTTCAAGAGCAAAATATCGGCCAACCTATCAGGAGGACACAACCAGACCCCCGAGGAAGAAGAGAAGTGGCTTTTCGTTTCTTTTTCCTATCATCGTCTGTTCAGTGGGAAGGTAAGGTGATCATCAAGCTCCCAAAGTGAACAAACATTCCAGGTCAGCTGGACTCAGTGTAATGATATCTTTACTTAAAAAAAAAATGTCACCCAGGGGCACCTGGGTGGCTCAGTCGTTAAGGGTCTGCCTTCGGCTCAGGTCATGATCCCAGGGTCCTGGAATCGAGCCCCGCATTGGGCTCCCCGCTCAGCGGGAAGCCTGCTTCTCACTCTCCCACTCCCCCTGCTTGTGTTCCCTCTCCTGCTGTCAAATAAATAAATAAAATCTTAAAAAAAAAAAAAAAAAGTCAGCCAGGCCAGCCTTCCCCCTACTCCCCAGGACACAAGCCCTTCTGTTCTCTGTAGGATTTGTCAAGTGAGATGTTTGTTGTGTGGGTTGTGGGGTGGAATGTAGGATTTATGTGGGATACGGAATTATGTCATATCGTCACATTATCTAGCGGCTCTTGCTAGAATATGTGGAATTTTCATGAGCAAGGAGATGATGCCTCTTAGAAAAGTCTCTGAGGGGTCAAGCACAGGTCACTGACCAAAGATCATTATACAGATGGCTGATTCTTCCCATGACTCAAAGGAGGCTGCAGGTGCCATTCTAGACAGAGGGAAGAGCAAGTGCAAAGGGCCGGAGGTAGAAACAAATTTGGCAACGTTCAAGGAACAGCAAGGAGGCCAGTGCTTTAGTGATGGAAGGGGTTAGAGCAGTTGGGAGCTGAGCTCCAAGTAGGGAGGAACAGAATCTCTTCAGGCAGGGATTTTTAACTCAGATGGATGCCTGGGTCTCAGCCTAGGCGGATTAAATCTGAATTTCTCAGGCTGATAGTCCAAGAGTTCTATTTTCTCCATAAGCCCTCCAGGTGATTATGATGTGCAGCCAGGGTTGAAAACGGGTAGAGGACCTTGCCATAGAATGAGTTTGGATTTTATTCCAAGAACTCACTTTCCATGTGGAGGACGGGCCAGGAATAGGAGCAGGGAGAACAGTTAAGAGGTTGGTGGCTTGAATCAGGGTGAGAGCAGTGCAGTTCGTGAGTAAGGGAGGTGGGGCTGAGACCCTGTGGATTTCATTGGCCGAAGGAAGGAAGGGGTTGGCAGAGAAAAGGGAGAGAAACCAGGGTTTAAAAAAAAAAAATCTTATAACATCATTCAATTGTTTTACCCCATGGGTAAAAGAGTCTTTTTACCCCATCTGGAAAAGAGTCTTTACAGATGTAATTAAGGATCTTAAGATAAGATCATCCTGGATTATCTGGGTGGGCCCTAAATGAAATGACTAGAGTTCTTATAAATCACAGAAGATACAGAGAGAGAAGAGGGGAAGAGCATGAAGAAGCAGAGCTGGGAGTAGGGAAGCCTCACGCCCAGAAATGCCTGGAGCCACCCAAAGCTGGAAGAGCGGAGGAAGGATTCCCTCCCAACCCTTGATGGGGGTGGGGCACTGTGGCCAATCTGATTTTGGACCAGTCGATTTTCTGTTCTAAACCACCTCCTTAGTGGTAGTTTGTTACGGCAGCTCTAGGAATGGCTGGTGGTGCATCAGTTAATTAAGATCAAATAAAAATAAGAACTTTTTTTTTTTAAGATTTTATTTATTTATTTGACAGAGAGTGAGCACGAGTAGGGGGAGCAGGCAGAAGGAGAGGGAGAAGCAGGCTCCTTGCTGAGCGGGGAGCCCGATGCGGGGCTCGATTCCAGGACTCTGGGATCATGACCTGAGTTGAAGGCAGACGCTTAACGACTGAGCCACCCAGGCGTCCCCCAAAATAAGAACATTTATAAAAAAAAAAAAACAGAACTGCATGAAGTCTAAAAAAGAAAATTTATTCCCATACCTCACAATGATTAAAAGAGTAAGTAACCAATAGAAGAAGAGAAAGCCTTTGATGAAAGTCAACATCTAGTCAGGACACCAAAAACCAAACCCTTTCTTAATCTGGTAAGGCACCTTTTTTTCCTGGACTACAGAGTAACGGTAAAAACTGCAATTCCTGGGCGCCTGGGTGGCTCAGTTGGTTAAGCGACTGCCTTCAGCTCAGGTCATGATCCTGGAGTCCCGGGATCGAGTCCCGCATCGGGCTCCCTGCTCGGCAGGGAGTCTGCTTCTCCCTCTGACCTTCCTCCTTCTCACGCTCTCTGTCTCTCATTCTCTCTGTCTCAAATAAATAAATAAAATCTTAAAAAAAAAAAAAAAAAAAAAAAAACTGCAATTCCTGTTCCAGGTCTGTGATCCATAAGCACGTAAAATAAATGTGTGTGCTGCCCGAAAGTAATCAATACACCATCCTAGCACAGCATTAAGGAATATGGACTTTAAAACTGGGCTCTCCCCACTTACTAGCTGTGTGACTTTTGGTGGACTCTGCAACCTCTCTGCGTCCTGTGCTAGATCCTGAGCAGAGCAGTAAAACAAAGACAGCTTCTAGGGGAAGGCCATGTTCAGTTGCTCCTAGGTTGGCAGAGGCTGAACCAGAAGGAAAGACTAGAGGTGCAGCTGGGGTTCAGCAACAGCTGAGGGGAGCGGAGGCTCCAGCAGCCAGAGCAGGGGAAGAAACAACGGGAGAAAGGGGTGGGGGGAGCAGGAAGCAGAACGAGGGCAAGGGTGGGTGTGGCCAGGGAGAGCTGAGCAGGGGCAATCCTCACCCACCAGCCCCTCCACCCCTCAGCAGTCTCCACCTGTATGTAAAGCATCTAAACTCATCCGTATAAAAAGCTTCAGCCTTTATTAAATAAAAAGGAGGTAGAAGACAAGTAAAGGAACAGGCTAGGTACCCCTCCTTCCAACCCCACATATACGGGCATACAAACAGGCACGACCGAATAAATGACAGGGACAAGTCAGGGGACAGACTGAAGGGCGGAGGGAGGCAGCACCCTCCGGGAGTAGGCCCGGACCCAAGGGTGCGCAGAGACCTGGGCCAGGGGCAGCCGTTCTGAGGGGTTGTGCTTGAGCAGCTTGGAGATGAGGTCCTGGGCTCCCGTGGGCACAGAGGTGGGGAACTTCAGGTCCACCTGCAGAAGTCGAGGAAGGACAAGGGCCCCCTTAGTTTTATCCTCGACCACCCCCATTCCATCTGGAGAATTCCACAGGGCCCGCCGGGCCTCTGCAGCCAGGCACCATGCCCGCCCTCCCACCTTGACGATGCGTCGATACGTCTCATTGTGGGAAGCGCTCTCGAAGGGCGGGTTTCCCACCAGCAGCTCATAGCAGAGGACTCCGATGCACCACAGATCCACCTTCTCGTTGTGTGTGCGCCCTTCAATCATTTCTGGGGGCAGGTAGTCCAAGGTACCACACATCGTCTTCCTCCTGGGTGGGATGGCGGGGGGAAGGGCAGGGATCCCAGGTAAAGACCACCTGTGTTTTCCCTGCTGCCTGACAGGGAGCCGAGCGACCCCAGGATGAGCCAGGGGAGTATTTCAACCAGGCTCTGACAGGGCCCTTTGGGGCAGGAGTAGGGTAAAGATAGAGCCCAAAGAAAGCCCCAGGGGTAGAATCACACACTGCCCCAGCCTTTCCACCCGGAGGGATGTATCTTAAAATAATCAGATCTAAGGGCAATGCTCATCTTAGAATTAACGGGAAAACTGGGGCCCTCTCAAAAGTCCATCTGGCAGGTCCTGCTGAAATGGATCAGGTTGGGGCGCCTGGGTGGCTCAGTCGGTTGAGCATCTGCCTTCGGCTCCGGTCATGATCTCAGGGTCCTGGGTCGAGTCCCATATCGGGCTCCCTGCTCAGCGGGGAGTCTGCTTCTCCCTCTCCCTCTGCCCTTCCCGCCTGCTCATCTCTCTCTCACCCTCTCTCAAATAAATAAAATCTTGAAAAAAAATGGATCAGGTTCTATCTATCTACAATACTATGAAGCCATTATAAATGAGGTGGGAGTATTCTCAGCGACGCGATGAGTGGGTCCCAGTATATTCGGTAGGAAATCTGGGCAACAGAATTGGGGGTCTCTGTAAAGAGATTGCCGTGTCTATAGGCACTTGAGGACAAACCCACACGTGTCCGGGGACCAAGATCTGGAGTCCTGTTACCCTGAACGTGCCCGCCATTCACACCCAGGCCCGGTCCCCTGGCCCAGCGTACCTCAGGGAGGGGGCATGGACAGACCAGCCAAAGTCAGCGATCTTCAGCTCTCCCTGGAGCCCCAAGAGCAGATTCTCCGGCTTTATGTCCCTGTGAATCACCTTCTTCCCATGGCAATACATTAGAGCATCTGCCAGTTCTTCCATGATCTGGGAGGGCCAATGACAGGAGGTCAGGCAAGGCTGGACGTCCAGCTCCAAGCGGTGGACCCCCAGCCTCGGGCCCCTGCTGGTGCCCCAAAGAGCCCACCCGCCCGGACCGTGGCTGTTCGCTGCTCGTCAAAAGTGCGGCTCTTCTGCAGTTCCTTGTAGAGCTCCCCGCGGGGGGCGTACTCCAGAATCAAGTAGATCCTTCGCCGGTCATAGAAATAGTTGTAAAGGCGCAGGATGTTGGGATGCCTGGAGGGGACAGGGGAGGACTCAGGTTGCATCCAGGCCGAAGGAAATGGGAAAGATGACAGTGCCAGGTGGGGCAAAGTGGGGTCACATTTGGACCAGGCCGGGGACAGCGGGGCTGGCAGTGGTGAAAGAGAACTGGGGGCGGCCCTCTGGATTCAAGGCTCTGGCCGGGGGAGTTCAGTTGGGCCTTGACCGGGGCTGGGAGCTCAGTGGGGCCTTGACCGGGGCTGGGAGCTCAGTGGGCCAAGGGACCACTGCAGGGCAGTCTGGATGGGGCAGGGGGTGAAAGAGGAGCCGGGGGAGGAGCAGAGGGGCTGGGGTGGGTGGAGGGCAGGACTCATACTGCAGATGGGCCTGGATTTCGATCTCCCTGCGCAGTTGGTGCTCCACGCCCTCCTTTTCTATCTGAGACTTGAAGAGGACCTTGAGAGCTACAATGAAATGGCTTTTCTTCTCCCGAGCCAAGTACACGTTTCCAAACTTGCCTTTGCCCAGAGGACGCCCGATCTCAAAGTCGTCGATGGTGAAGGAGCGCCTGATGAGAGGTGAGGGGAAGGCAGGCGAGCGCCAGCCTGTGGGTCACCCGAGGCGCCACGTTCTCCCCTCTCCCCCAGCCCCGCCGGCCCTCAGCCCTGCTTCTCTCCCAAGGGAGGTGAGGACGAGTTGAGGACGGATCAGGCTTTCTTGCCTGCATCCCTGCTCCTGCCCTGAGTGGCCGCCTCCCCCATGTCCTCCGTGTTTGCTCCCCCCCTCCTCTCTTGCCACCCCAAGGCTTGGGTACTCACGTTGAGAAGTTGGGTGTCCCACTGCTGTTCTCCACCACCTTCTGGCCAGGGGCAGCTAAGGAAACAACAGGGGAGTTCAGCAACCTCCCCCAACTTTGACATTTTCATCCCGGCACCCTCCCCATAGACCCTAGACCCTAGGCCCCTCAGCTCAATCCCTTCCCGTGTCCCAGTTACCTGTGGGCTGGCCATTGGAGCGGCTCATGAGGACAAGCGCAGACGGGGTGGCAGGGTCCTTCCGGAGGACTCTCTGGGGCAGGGTGTTCAGGCCAGGGTGATTCTGAGAAGGAGCAGCAGTGGGGAGCTCTGAGGGTGCCTTTGTCCCGGGGAGCGGGTTGGAATGTGCTAAAAGCAGCATTTCAATACTTGCTGTCAGCCCACCCAGCCAGCCAGCCACCCACCCCCTGTTCAAAGAGGAACACCGAGACCAGTTTTGCTACTCAGCCCAAGGCTCCGCTCCTTGCTCCGTATTAAAATGGGTTCTTCATAAGCGACCTAGGTTGGCCTAAGATAAGGAGCAAAGGACTCACCCCAACACTGAACATTTCACCTCCTTGGCCATGGCCCACACCACATTTTAAGGCACGTAACTGTCTAACCTCTATGGTACCGTCCACAACCCCACACTCATTCACCCTGCCCTCCCCCACCCCTGTGGGGAGTAGAGAGCCAGGTTAAAAAAGGAAAAAACAAAAACAAAAACAAACCACCCACAATTCGAGGGGTTTTAGCAGAAACATTCTCACAGCCCCCTAAAAACTCAGTCTAGGGGCACCTGGCTGGCTCAGTCAGTAGAACACGCAACTCTTGATCTCAGGGCTGTGAGTTCGAGCCCCGTGTTGGGTGCAGAGATTACTTAAAAATAAAATCTTCAAAAAAAATAATTTAAAAAATTAGAAAAAAATTAAAAACTCAGTCTATTAAGGTTTAGATAAGGTCCCGGAGGTCTTGAATGTTGCAACAAATTCCAGTGTTCACCCCTTTGCAACAAGAGGCTTTGGAGACACTGAGGGCTACTCTGATGGCCCTGGACCATTTCTCTCTTGCAGCTTCTCAGAGCAATATACACAACTTCCTTTCAGGAGTGACCACAATGGTTTCTCTTTCAGCCTCTGTTCTTGCCAGCCTCACTAAGTGCTCCGTGAGGGCGGGAGCTGGCGGACAAGGGGACAGATGGACACTTCAGGATACCCAAGCCCCACCAACAGGGAGCAATGCCTGTGAGAGCCCCTTCCTTCTTCTTAGCCTAGAGAAGAAAGCCTCGTGCCCGAAAAGCCCATTCCCAAGCAGTGATATCCGTACAGAATTTATAAGCAAGCAGGTTGGACAAAATAAGAGTCCAGAAATAGATCCACATAGAGGTGGGCATTTTATATAATAAAGGTGGCGTTTCAAATTAGAGAGTAGACTGACCACTGAAAGATCTTAGGACAACTGGAAAATAAATCTATTTAGATCTTGATCTCACACCAATCACTAAAACAAATTCCAAATTCCAAATTTAACATGTCCTGAATCTTTTAAACCTATAAAAACCCTGTTCAGTGTCTCTCTCTACTTCCTGTCTAGCCTATTTGTTCAGGACAAGGGTTGGGAATCATGGCCCGAAGGGCAAACCTGCCTGCTCAGTCCCAGGTATCATTTGTATACGTGACAAAAAGGCTCAACCCTGGAGGGATCCTCATAGGCTGATCAGATTCAACTCGGCGGCACCTGATAGGATGTGTTTGCAAATGCCCAGACCCGGTTCCGCCAGCAAATTCTTGGGACCCATTCGTTGGAGCAAAGCGGGGCAGACTCGGAGGGTCGCCCTCCGCACGACCTCAAATCCCCAGGCAGGAACTCTCCATGCGGGTGGGGGGAGGGGACGTGGGAAAGCCCTTACCGTCTGCCGGCCGTAGGGCCAGGGGTAGGCGTTCTCCTTCTGGGCCATCCTTAGAGGGAAAGGGGGAGGAGAGCTGGGCACACAAGGGAAACAGGGCTGTAAGAAGCAGGAAAAAAAGAGGGAGCGAGAGAGGAGGGGGTCGGACCGATCGAGCCGGAAGCGCGGGTCTGGGGCTGCTGAAAGGGGGCTGATCAAGTCGCTGGCTCATCGGGGCGCACCCGGGCGCTCGTCTCGCCGCCCCCGCCCTGCTCCTGCACACCCCCCTTTCAGGACCCTCCCTCTACCCTTGAGCTCCCGGTAGCCCAGCGGGTGCGCGCGGGCCGCCCAACGGACCCCCGACCTGCCTGATCACCTGCCCTCTCCCAGCGCAAGACCCGCGAAAGGAAGCCAGCTCACCTGGGGCCCGTGGCACAGCCACCCTCCGGGCCGCGGGCAAACGACTGAACCTGCCGGGCCGGGCCCCCGCTGAGGGCCTTTCAAATCTCCCGCCCTGGCCCCATTGGCTGAGCGCGCTGTCCAGGCCCAGCCCTCATTGGCTGGACTCCCCGTGACGTAGCCCGTGGGGCCCAATGCAGGAGGCGGAATGCCAGACACCGCCCGCTGGAGGTTCGGGCTTGGGAAAGTTTCGGGCATCCCCGAGTCCAATGTTCTCACATCTTCTTTCGTTAATTTACAATTTCCGTCTATCTGGAATTTATCCTTCTGTGTGTACGCACCAGGGTTTTATTCTCGACAGATGGAGAGTTCATTACGCCAGCACCGTTTGTTACACAAACCACCTAGTTCCCAGGGGAATTTAAATGCTACCCTTACCCAAAGCAATCCACAGATTCCACGCAATCTCTATCAAAATTCCAATGACAGTTTTTACAGAAATAGAAAAAAACAATAGCAAGTTTGTATGGAGTTACAACAGGACGCAAATAGCCAAAGCAAGCTTGAGAAAGAACAAAGCCACGGGTATCACCAACAGCACCCCCCCCCACCCCCGGTTTCAAACCACATTACAAAGCTGTAGTAATTAAAACAGCCCGGTGTTGACATAAAAACTGCCACATAGGGGCCGCCTGGGTGGCTCAGTCGTTAGGCGTCTGCCTTCGGCTCAGGT